CACAGCAGGCATTGGCGTTTGTCGCCGACACAGCTGCCCCGGCGCTTGTGTCCTTTGACTTCAACCTCACTGCTGGCGATCTCGCTCTGACCTTCTCTGAGCCTGTCAACGCCAGCACGGGCGACTTCGCCCGCATCCAGCTGCGCGCCGCTGCAAACGCAACCGACGCTGCCCTCACGCTGTCGCTGACTGGCGGTGCGCTGACGCAGAGCGCCGACGACCGCGTGCTGTACGTGCGCATGACTGCAGCCGACTTCCTCGCCCTGCAGGCCAAGCGCGCACTGGCCACAAACGCCTCAACGACGTTTGTGTTTGTGGACGGGCTGCTGGACGACTACTTTGGCAACACGCTGGCGGCCGCGGATGCGACTGCCCAGCAGGTGGCCGTGTTTGGCGAGGACACGCGCGCGCCGACGCTCGTGTCTGTCTCGCTTGATCTTGATGCGCGCACGATGAGCATGGTGTTCAGCGAGGTGCTGGTGGGCCCTGGCCTGCCAACTGTCGGCATCACGCTGCTTGCATCGCCCGGCAGCTCTGCGGGCGTTCGCCTTGACATTGGCGAGCGGCTTGTTGTCTCGGGCACCCATGCCACGCTGAGCATTGCTGCGGCCGAGGCAAGCGCCATCCAGGCCCAGGCCGGCGTGGTCAGCAACGACACTGCCTTTGTGTCGCTCGAGGCTGGCGTGGTCCTTGACCTGAGCGCCAACCCGTCCACCGCCATTGCGTCCGTAGATGCACGGGCTGTGCTTGCCTTCACTGCAGACACCACCGCACCTGCGCTGACCAGCTTCACGCTGGACATGGATGCTGGTGTGCTGAACCTCACCTTCTCGGAGCCAATCAACACCACCTCTGTGGCTGTGCCACGCTTCGTTGTTGTGCGGGAGGCTGGCGCCGCACCCGTTGCAAATGTCACGCTGGCAGCCTCTGCTGTGCTTTCGTCGCAGCTTGGCCGCCAGCTGGCGCACGTGAGTGTTGTGCTTGCCCGCGCCGACCTTGACGCGCTCAAGCTGGATGCCAGCCTTGCCACTGCGGCCAACAGCACTCGCCTTGTCGTGCTGCCCAACGCCGCCACAGACACGGCCGGCAACGCTGTTGTTGAGGTGCCTGTGGCGTCTGCCAGGGCAGTTGCAGCCTACACTGCTGACACGACCAGCCCGGAGCTGACGGCGTTTGACCTCAACATGACGTCTGGCGAGCTTGTGCTTGAGTTCTCAGAGCCGGTCCTTGCATCGTCGCTGGACCTTTCTGCTCTGGTCCTGGCCAACGACACGGACGCTGCCTTTGCCGTGCGCACTGCGCTGGACAACGGCACTGCCTCTGCTGTGGATGGCACTCAGCTGCGCATCACGCTCTCTGTGAGCGTGGTTGATGCCATCAAGCTTGCTGCCAACACTGCGCAGGCTGCCGCCGCCACCTTCCTCGACGCAAGCGGCGCGCTTGTCGCTGACATGGCCGGACAGCCCTCTGTCGCTGTGGCTGCGCTGCCTGTGCGGGTGCTCGCGCCAGATGCTGTTGCGCCCGTGCTTGTGTCCTATGGCGTGCGCATGGACCAGGCCCGCCCGCCCATTGTCCTGACGCTTGTGTTCTCCGAGCCTGTGGATGTGGGCGCGCTCAACCACACTGCCCTTGTGTTCCAGTCCAACGCGACAGCAGCCACGTCTGCGGAGTCTTACCGCCTGCAGCACGCTCCAGCCGCTGTTGTGCCCAGCAGCAGCCAGCGCCAGGTGGCGATTGAGCTTGCCACGGGCGATTTCCTTGCGCTGCGGGATGCTGCTGGCCTTGCTGTGCTGATGCGCAGCGCGGCCACCACGTACCTGCGCTTTGATCCTGTGCTTGTGACAGACACCATTGGCTCGAGCGTGGTTGGCGTCTCCGTCAACAGACGGCGCTGTGGCTCCGAGCGAGTACACGGTTGACCTTGTGCCGCCGCAGCTCAGCGCGTTTGACGTTGACATGGATGCTGGATTTGTTGTGCTGCGCTTCAGCGAGGACGTGAACGCGAGCAGCATCGCTGTGGGTGCGTTTTCCCTTGTTGCCGCGCGTGGCGCGAACGTGACTGCGGAGGGTGTGACTTTTGATGCCGCCCTTGATGCTGCGAGCAGCACAGGCAACGCCACCCAGGTGCGTATTGACCTGAGCGTGTCGACGCTCAACCGCGTCAAGGCTGACGCTGGCCTTGCTGTGAGCCGCAGCACGTCGTTCCTGGCTGTTGCGGCAGGTGGCATTGCTGACTTTGCTGGCAACAGCATGCGGCAGGTTGCCTCTGCTTCTGCCGTGGCTGCGGTCAGCTATGTCGCCGACGCAACTGGCCCTGTGCTGCAGAGCTTTGCCCTCAACATGACCTCTGGTGTGCTGCGCCTCACCTTTGACGAGGTTGTGGCCAGGGCAACGTTTGATGCGACGCAGGCCCGCCTGGTCAACGCCGCCACGGGCGCGACTGTGGCTGTTGCGCTGGATGCGGTGGCTGTGGACGCCCCAGCCGCCAACAGCACGACCCTTGGCTTCACCCTGACCCAGGCTGCCGCAAACGAGGTGCGTGCCAGGACTGGCCTCGGAACGACGGTGGACAACACGTACCTGCAGTTGCTGGCAGGTGCCATCCGCGATGCGGCCGGCAACGCAAACTTGCCCGTCACAGCCAACGCAACACAGGTTGTGCAGGATGCCCTGCCCGCGCGCCTGCTCGCGCTGTCGCTGAACATGGACAGCGGCGTGCTGAGCCTGTCGT